AACAGAACGAGGGAGGAACTGGGATAAATACTTTATTTGAAAGCTTCCTCTTCTTCCCTCCAGGGCAGGCAGACTTCTTGGGAAACTGCGGGTTTAGGTCAATTACTGAAAATCTATCTGCACCAACTCTGTATTTGCCAGGAAAAATCAACCAACCGAAAAACCTCCGACCTAAACCTGAGCCACAAACAAAAAGCACCCCCTGTAGTTAGTTATTTTGATGGGCCAGAGTAAGGATGGGCACAAAAGGGAATAGTGGCAGGACATAGGGTGACATTTACTCTCCTGACAGGCAACTGATAATCATGAAGGGCAAAAAGCCTTCAGCTGTGCAGCTCACAGGACTAAGCCTGAGGACCTGCTCCTAACCGGTGGACAGTACAGTCTGGGCTCTACAGACATAAAGACTTGCTATAGTTCCGTATCTTTCCTTCTTCTATTTGGATTAAATTTACATTTATGAATTTAAATTTAATTCTGAAACTGCTACTTGTCCAAGATTGATTAACGTAAACCAACTTCGACTTGTGTGAGGGTGTGTTGGTTGATCAAATCGAATGCTCAGTTATGTAGAGAGCATGGGAAGAAAAGAAGCCACAAAAGACTGAAATGACTTACCCTCACAGCAATTTTCAGCGACACGTGCTGAATAGTGACTAACGGAGGATACAGACGACCTTCCTGTAAATTCTCCTCTGAAACTTGCTGAGCTATTACCTAGAAATAAAGCAGACATGTTAAACTTGAAATGCAGATGCAGCTGTAGCTTTATTAGACAGTGATCTAGTCTTAAGCAAAGAAATGGTTCCGCTTTGGCAAATCATGCAGATACTGCTTAATTCACCTAGGCAGTGCTTTTTATAACCAGCCTTATCATTACGAGTGGCTACACAAGAGCTAGTAATTTAGGGAGTTATGCCCTTTTCTCACTCAGACAGTACGACTTATTCAAGTCTTGAATAAGTCTGTGACACACATAAACTAGCAAATAGTTCACTGTGAGATATTAATTCCAGCCATCAATTGTAGTTGGGTCAAAGACTTCTAAAATTAAAGAAGCACCTGTTATTCTGACAGTTGTCAAGTCATCCTGTGCAGAGAACAGAGCTGAAACCCTTAAGTGTAAAATGCTTTGAAAAAAATTACTGGTGGCTGAGCAGCTTTGTTGTGTGTCCAGCTCACACATCTAACCTGTATGAGATCATAAAAGTAAGTATGGTCAACCACAGAACAAAGTAAAATAAAGGTAAGATTATCCAGGCTCTTTTAAAGCCCTGCTGGTCACTGCAGTCAGATTTAGAAATAGAAGGTCTAATGCTAAATTCTGGTTTGCTGGGACATAAACACCAGGGCTGCTAGAAAAAGTCTGTCCATTCCACTTGAAGGCTGCAGTGGGTCTGTCATCTCAACCATACCAAGTAAATAAAGAAATTATTTTGCTCTTTGCTTGATTTTTCAGCAGACTGACCAGGGGAAACAAGGAACGATACAGGAGTTCTGATGCATGCCTGAGAAAAGCATCTCCTCTATGGCCTGAATATTCTTGCTTGGTCTTCCTAGCAAGACTGGAAGTGTTCTGTTGTCATCTCCAGCAATGAACAGATCGGGGAAGCCTAGCAAGCTGGAGAAGTTGTTTTTTACTGTTTACTCATTGGCCATATGAAAAACCTTCTCTTACCATGAGGTGTGAGGGCATTCTCCACAGAGTGAGGAGAGACACTGTTTGCACTGTCTGCTTATGGGCTTACTTCATGAACTTCCTCTATTCCTACAACAGGTACCGTTGAAGAAGCAAAGGGTCCTGGGGCTGCCTTTGGGCCTAATGATATTTCTGCTATCATTAGCTAAAATACTTGTCATTTGGGGATCTGAAATAGAAAATAGCCTTTCAGGGTGATCCAGATCGGGATTTGCTGAGCTTGAGTATCAGCTGCTGGCAGTTCTCTACCCTGTCTTCTACTTTGTAATCTCTGCAGTGGACTTGAAGGTTTCATTTCTTTAACTGCCCACTTTTGTACCTTCTAGGGAGCTGCTAGTTAGAACCAAATCTGAGTATCTTCTAAGCAAACTAAGCACAAAATTTGTATATTAAAAATGGTCTGACTTTATGCAGTTTTCAATAGCTAACATTCTCTACTACAATTCTCAAATCAATAAAAACATTAAGGCAGATTTGCATTAGCAGAATCCAAATTTCAAATTTCTCTGTCTTGCTTTGGGACAGAAAGGAAATGACTCTGGGGAGGCGATGTCACTTGCCCTTTGAACAGCTGGGAACATGTAACAGTCATAAGGAAAGGAGGTTCTTTGTACTGTGCAAGCTCATACTTCTTAAACCTGTTACGGTTTATAAGCAGTTTGCATTGACATTAGTACATTGGGCTGGCTCCTGGAGTGTATCCTTCCACTTAGTTTCATCCAAAAGGAAACCAGTCCCCCTCTCCTCCCAAGACCATGCCACACTGTGGACCAAGGTGGAGTATGTAGGGACACCAGGGAGATGCGCTCCAGAAGACCATTCTGATGTCAAATAGAAGAGTAATGTAGAGGCACCCTTAGTGTTCCCATCAGGAGAAATTATACATTTTTGTGCAAGTACAGCTTAGATAACAAAAGGTTAGAACCAAATCACTGACTGATCCAGGAGTGCGGGGATACTTCTGCGTGGTGTGACCCTGTAGGGGTATTCTGTGGATGGAAGGAAAACCCTGACCTGCATAGCGTCTGGTGGAGCCATGTATGACCCATCAAGAGGTTCTGAAAACACCAGGAAAGTCCAGGAAAAACTGTGAAATGAAACTGATAACATGGCCCAAAGAGAAAGCAAGAAGTGCACTTTTGAGGGACCGTACTAGGAAGGTACTTGAAACGAAGCACATACCGCTTACTACAGTTCCTGTTGCATGTAGGAAACAGGACCTTGTGTACGTTGCTTGCAAACAGCTAGGACTGCATCAGAAGAGATGCCTGGCTAGCATCAATTCACCCTTTCTGGCAGAAGTAGGTAAACAGTTTGAATTAAAGAGCAAACGGTATAGTAACTCCAGGTTCAAAGAGAAACAATGTTCTCTTCTGCAATCTACCCAGCATGCTGGTAGGTGTAGAAGGTTTTTCCATTCGGAGTGCAAATGCCAACAGGAGCAACAAGAGACTATACTCTTGTTGAGTATAATGAGTAAAGGAAAATTATTTGTTTACATTTTAATCCGATTTTGAGAAATACAGTGGAGATAAAAACCCACTAGGGGGAGCTAAGACAACGTAAAATCTAGTTTTTGCTTTCCATAATAGCAACTAGGTTATTTAAAAATTATATGGAGCCCTTTGATAAAACAGGATGTGCATCTGCATGTGTAAAGAGGAGCTTACAACGTGAGATTCATGCTGTTAACAGTTTAAGGGGGCTCTGCAGGAAAGATGAAATCAACAGCAAGTTGCTGTTAGTGTAATGCATCACTGGGAAAAAAAAAAAAAAAGGTTCAGGAGTAGACTACTTCTGTTTTGTGATGGGGTTGATAGAAAGCAAGCCACAAAACATTTGGGCAGTGCTCAAAGTGGGAGAGGTAGCAAGCTTAACTATATAGATGCCATGCTATTCCTTCTGATGTACTCCTGTAACAGCATTAAAAACTATGCAAAAACACAGAAACAAGCATTTCCAAAGAGAATGACACCTTCACGTGGTCTCTGAAAAACGCTCCTTGAGAACATCAGTTCAGTGGCAGGGGAAAAAATGAAGAATCAACACTTGGAATTATTAAGAAAATAAAACGTGACACAGAAAATGTAATTATACCAATGTATAAATCCACAATGTAACACCACTTTGAACAAGTCTGCATTTTTGCTCCACCTACTTCAAACAAGAATGGGATAGAATCATGAGGGGTATAAAGAATAACAAGGATGATCAAAATGTTATTTTTTGTACAAGGAGACAAAAAATAATAAAATAGACCTGAGAGAAAAAAAGAGAAGACTGAAAGAAAATACAAAAGACAACTGAAGGTGAACATTTCTCATGGCACTATAGGGAACCCAAATAATCAGACAGCAGGAAATCATAAGAGGAGCATTTCTTTTTCCACAGAACTCATAATTAAATTGTGACACTAATTGCCAAAAGATGTTCAAATGTATAAACATGTTTAAAAAGCCACTAGGCTCATTTTTGAAAGAGAAATCCATACAGGGATAAAACTTCCAGCGCAGAAAGGCCATCTAGTACAGGCTGCCAGAAGCTGAGAAGCCATTTCAGCAGAAGGATCACTCTGTATTTTTCCCCTTCTTTATCCTCTTTTCCTCAGCTTCTGCTACTGATTGCTTTCACAGGAAGATACTGAGCTGTTTGGACCTTAGGTCCAACCCAGTATGGCTATTTTCATGTTTTAAATTTTATTTAATTCAAGTTTTTAATAGAGAAATTAGCTAAGCCTTATTGCAGAACCTAAATGAAAGGCAGCCAAGACAGGACAAATGGCACAAAGCAAGTGGGGGCATCTTGGCTCTTGGAGGACATATTCTCTATAATGAAAGGATTTAACAGGATTATTTCTGGAGTAACTTAACTGTAGGTCACACATGCCAAGAATATTTCATTAGATCATAATTCTCTGTCCCTTTTGTTGTGTTTGGTAGGACTTAGAAGAATAGGTAAGTCCCTTGTCATCACAGAGCAATTGCCTGCAATTAAGAGGTATTACAGCTTACAGTACCTTAGATTTATCATCCAAAATCAAAGTTACATTCTATTTTACTTGGCAGGAAGAAAAGAACACTGAAAGTAGAATTTGTTGTAGTTACAATAAGCTATTTGTGACTTTTATTAGATTTAATTAGAGAGGTGGCGAAGCAAGAAGACAGGAGGTGCAGGCATGCAGCCTGGGCTGCTTATTTTTTATACTTTCTTTTTTCAGGTAAGCTACTGCTACAATCTGAGGAGGTCCTTCCGTCTAAAATGCATGGTTTTGGTGCTTTAAATTTGGCAGCATCTTGGGTGCTTCCATTTCAGTCGGAGAATACTAACCACTATTCTAAAACCCACAAGAAACTATTTTGATTTAACCCTTCCATTAAAAAAGTCAAGAAAACAAAACAAAAAGCACTTTTGCCTTTGCTTTGTACTGTAATTTCAGCTAAGGGCCTATGCAGCCCTCCTGGCCTTCACACCCCTGACACCTCTTCTGGCAAAGACTCCTCTGAAATCCATCAGTTGTCGCCTCGCTCAGTAACTGGCTGTAGCTCGCCCAAGCCCCAGTCACACACTGCCTCTCACACAAGCAGGGAGACTAGATACGACTGCTCTTAGCTCCAGCCATAAGGCAAGTAGCTATCCATCGATCTTGCCGCCAATAGACTTTCTATGCAAGAAAAAAAATACATTTTTACATGTCAAACTTTTCTAGCGGTTTTACTAGAGGATGGCAATTACGTAGCAAAACCTTTGCCAAAAGTCAGGAGAGAACCTCTACCTTAAGAGAGAATTTAAAAGCTTCCTCGCAACTTTTGATACCATTTTACTTCTCTGACTGTTACATTTCTTTGTTTGGTTAGGTTTCTTTGTTCAGAACAGATTTTTTTCTGACTTAGTAGCCTGCCACTTGAAGCATTGTTCAATCCACATATGTGTCACCTTTCATCCATCAGCACTCTATATATAGGAACCATTTCACCCAAACCAAAATGAAGCAGCTTCTAGAATGAAATAAGACAACTGTTTAACACAGCAGTTTAGACCAGCAAGCGAGGATCACCCTATCCAACTGAAATTACAGGGAAGGATTTAAAGGGAGGATATAATTATCCAAAGACTTATGAGATGGATCATTGCCCTCCTAAGATGGTTAAAGCCAGTGGAGACAGTCTGGGATTTTTACTAATTTTAAAGATGGAAATTGTGAATATCTTTCTTACAGAGGGCAAGCTGCTGGCAAACTTTTTAAGATGCCATAGTACACACCTTAAAAAAAAAACCCTTCAGAAATCCAGCAAGGGCAGCGTGCAAGTGCTCACCCTTTAAGAAAGCTTCATACCACATACTGCCAGTCATAGGATCAGGTTGCCTATCAGTTGCCTCCAAGTGATAGTAAAAGGCCATTTTTCTGCCCTTTAATCCAAGAAGAGGACACAAGGAGCAAGGATCCTGGAATGCAGTATCCCTCAGAGAAGCTGCAAGAGTTGAGTCAGGCATTCTCACTTCTGCTAATTGGTGCAACTTTGTTTTCTTCTCTCTTTTTTTTTTTTTTTTTTAGTTATTCCATAATAGTTGCTAATTGCGTTGCTTTGAAGCTTCCTCTGTGTGCTACCTACACTAGCTGTGTATTTCCAAGCGTGCTTACACGGCTTCTTTGAAGACTGGGACACTGCACTTTCATGAAGTTCTGTGGATTGTAATTTATATGAACTGGACTGGATAGAAATTACCACTGAAGTGCATCTAGGTTCATTAGGGCTAACTTGGTAAACTGAGGCTAGCCTTCTTCCTTATTTCCATACCCTTTAAAAAAACACAAAAAGCATCAGGCTTTTAATAACTTTGCATAGACATCGTCAGACCATCACACACTGCTTAGGGCTCTCTAATCATTGTCTGTACTGGGCCTGGGCTCTCTCTGAGCAGGATGAGCTTGGAAGCACATTCCTGGGAGCAGAATAGCCAGGAGTTTGAGCATCACTGGATATCACATCACTCAACAGAAGGAAGCTGGGTCCTGTGAGGCTTATTACATTGCTCTTGGTGCCAGCCAAGAGCAGAACCAACAGAGGCAATGGAGGAGACAGGAACTCCAGGACAGGGCAGGAAGGTGATGAGATGGAAAGGGTCAGAGGAAGGAGTGGTAAGGGTGCTATGATGCTAGAGTGGATGAGGAGCAAAGATGCTGGACCCAGAAAAGCACAGAAAGTTACAATTTTCTTAAGCAAGAAACAGCTACAGAAAGATTGACTTACTGTCAAAAAAAAAAAAAAAAATTGTGTTAAGCATTTTATTTCAACCACTGCTGGTACTTTATTGTGTTTGAATAAGGGATTCTAAAATGTTAAAGGCCAGATTCTTTGCCCATACATGTTGAAGATACAATCCTGTGCATTTATGATGTCCTACTGTAAGACACTGGATGTCAGATGCTGAACAATCACTGGAAGTAGGTGGTGAATGACTCATAGAACAAAAAGTGTTTGCTCTCTGTTCATCTCTTGCCCACTGAGTGGAGATAAATGAGGAGAGATCACGTGTTGGATAATGTCAGAAAAGGTCATCAAAAATTGCCTGAAGACAGAAAAGAACCAATGCAGAAAAGGCTAAGAAAGAAAATGGGAAGAATAACATGGCAATTGTGTCAAACTGTGGTGCAAGGAACCACAAGGCAATGGAGCACTTTCACCAGCTGTTGATAAGGGAGGTTCACAAAAAATGATGCCAACAGCTCTACTCAAAAATAGCAAAAAGCTAAAAAGCAAAAAGAAATTCAAATAATTTTTGCAAGCAAAACACCCACAAAGATCACCCCAAAGCTACCAACATCAAAATATAGTTCCTTTCAATCTAAAAATCATACCTATGTGCATGTGAATGCAAACTGTACGTACGTGCATTTGCCTGTGATAATACGGTACTGAAGTCTTTCTCTTTTTTCCTTGCCAACAGAAGGTGAAGTTTATGTCAGATGACCTTTGGACCAAGTATTAACTTTTTAAAAATAACTTGTTCAAATAGGATTTATAAAACCCAACATACCTTGCAAATAAAGACTGTACACAGAAAGCACTGTTTTTCCTATTTAAAAGATAATGTTTAACTATTTCTGTTTAATTGTTCATTATTACCAAGTTACTAAATTAAGGAATTTAAATAATTTTTAATACAATACCTCAGCAGTTGTGAGGAACACATCCTCGCCAATATGTTTGAGTCCACATGAAATAACGCCAAGGGCAACTCCTGGGAACACATAGGAATTGTTACCCTGTCCAGGATAGAGAGTTTGTCCACTTGGAAGAGTGACAGGATCAAAAGGACTTCCACTGGCAAAAATGCCACGTCCCTACATTGTAACGAGAAAGCCAAAGAAAGCATGTTAGTTACGAGGATGCTGTTGAATTATTTCACACATTCCTTTAAATACCTACCACTGTGGAAGCTGGGTTATGTCTATTTAATATCTCTTCTGAGAGGGTGTTAGAGCTACTTAACTGAATATGTCTCAAGAGCGTCAGGATCCCAGAGATCACTGGCAATTCTCCGTGACTATCTGATGTCAGAGGGTAATAGCTGCCATATTCAGGTAAGAGCTATCAGCACAATTTAGAGGAGGAGAAAGTGAAAGCCAGCACTCGTTATCACTTTGTGCATCCATGCCAGAAGAAGGGTACATGGGAAGAAGGTATGCACCTGGAGCTGTAAAACTCAAACTGGACAATACTGTCATGGTAACAATGGGTGTTGCTGCTAGATTTTTTCCCAACAGCAGATCATCCACAAAAATGACATTAAGGCCACTAAATGTTGCACTCTTGGATGCGGCAATTTCTGAGGAGCTGTGGGGACAGGCAGAGCTCTCGGTTCCTCCCAATCTCCCCTAAGTGGGCCCCTGTGCCCTCTCCACAGCTCAACAGATGACAGAGGTGCAAGCTCTGTCCCAGGAACGTCATCCCACGGTGCAACCTGTGGCACGAGTTGGTGATGGGGCCTCCTCTTCTGGGACCTTGTGGCTCCCCTCATTGTAATACACTGAGCAGGGTGAGGGCACCAACTCAGGCACCGGCCTGTGATTATCCAACACCGATAAACCACTAGGATGTTTCCCAGAGGATTTTTGGGTAGTGCCAAGTAGCACTGTTGCCACCAGGGCCCAGGCACCGTGCGCAGACTGGTCCCAGCAGGCAGTACGGAAGTGCCAGCCTGTTTTGGGGAATTAGAGAATTTAGCTGTACAGGTACAAGTTACACTGTATCACTTGTCCTGTGGACAAGAGAAGTGGCTGTAACTCATTTTACGTTGTGGTTCACATGGGACCTCTAAATCTCTTCCCAGGACCCAACGACAGGCGTAGCTCCCTATTTGGCCTGGTGTCATGCAGTAGCACGAATGTTCAGACTTGTGACACCACTGGAGTACCAAGAGATGGGCTGTAAGGGAGCTGCAAATCTGATGGAGTCTCTGTTCCCCTGGGATGAGGAACACCCCGATGGGAGCAGATGCCGGCACCATCGAGTGCTGTTCAAGGGTGGCAGAAGAGGCACCTCAGAGGTGACCCACCTGCAGCACTACAATCCAGGTTCTCTCCAGACCATTCCTGATACACAGGGAGAGAAAAGTAATTTCTACAGCAGGCAATGCAGTTTTGGACTAATGAGGGGAGGGACTTTGCATGAGCTCTATGTCTGAAGCCCAAAGGCCCCTGGCTCTTGCCTTGCTGGGGAGGGAGCATCCTTAAATTTAAGCAGTAAATTTAGGTGGAGAAGAAAAGCCAGCCATTATTTATGCTAGCACTGCTGAAGTGACTGTCACTGTTAAATGCTTCAGAGGCGCTTTGTGTCAGAAATATCTATGCCTATTTTAGGGAACTGGAAACATGCATTTTAAAATATGCCACTTGCTATTCAGCTCTGCAGAAGAATATTCTATTTGGTTTGGTGTCACGCAGTATTATCATGGCTGGCTTATTATACTTTTGGTGACAGGTCAAATACTCCAGTGTGTCTTTTGCTCTGCCTACCAGATGTCGTTACCCACTATAACCGACCCTTCATGTAGGCCGCTTCCCTGGCTCTTGCACTGCGCTGTAATTGTGTACTCTGCAGTGGGGAACGGGCATGCTAAATTTGTCTTTTAAACACTGTGGAGCTGTCATTCAAACTGCCCTGTATTTGACAAGAAATCCAAACACAATCAAACTATGAAACACATACAGTCAAGTACCCATACATTTCAAATTCTAGACTGAATTACAGGATAACGTGTTTATTAGCACTTCTATAATACGATAATAAATAAGCAAGCACAGTTCTCTTAATTTTCACCTATGTTTCCATAATAGAAGTCTTTGTAAAAGGAGTCAATTACCCCAGTTCTTAATAAAGAATTATTTTAAAGATTCTATTTCCTGTATTGAAGTATTTTTTATCCTAAAAAGTATTTATAAAATCTCAAATGAAAAACATGCCACTGTGTGTCTATATTACACAAAGTGGTACAGTTCAAAAACAGGCATAAGGCTTTAATGATTCGTGGTTACTGATGCTTTGGTTGTAATGAAGACTATGAGTCTTGCCTGACACCAATAAAAGCTATTAAATGTTTTTATGAGGGTGCAAGCACGCATTGACTTCAGTGAAATTGTCTTGATAAGATCTGAAAAACCTGTTACTTAATTTAACTCATTTTACCTACACACAGAGACATGATTAGTACTTGCTACTCCACCTTCTGTCTTCCATTTTAAATTTAATTTCCAATTAACTTTTCTCATCATAGAATAGAATACTTTGGGTTGGAAAGGACCTTGAGAGGTCATCTAGCCCCACCCCCCCCTGCAGTGAGCAGGGATTGAACCTGTGACCTTGGCATTATTAGCACCACGCTCTAACCAACTGAGCTGCTACATATACTGGAGAAATGTTAATGTTTGGTTACCTCTGTGTATTTGTAGCACTGCTCAGCAGTGCATTCTGCTTTGCTGGTAGGATTGCTGAGAGCAAAAATAATAGGATGTTTGTTTAAAGCAGCCATATCCTGAAGAATTTGTTTAGTAAAAGCACCACCAATTGCAGCAACTCCTAAAGAAGAAAAACACACACATAACAAGCAGACAAATGCAATCAGTTCAAGGTAAGACATGCATGTCACTTTTAAAAGAACAGAGCTCCTTTTATTGCATACCTCCCTCTTTAAAATGGAGTTCAACCTTTTTCCTAACATGTGGTTAAAATAAAGTTTTGTATAAAAGATTTAGCAACAGTGAAACTTCAGTATTATTCCTAACATAATGCAGAACCTATTCACCCCTGTACAGTTTGGTGAATTTCTCACTTCACTTTTCTCAGGCCCTTTATATAAAATAGAAATGTATCACCTAACCTGCAGGTAAGTCCAATAAGGAGTCAAAGGTACAACTCTGTCTCCTAAAGTCTCATGCAACAGACTGGACAGTTGCTCCCAAATCCAGTGTGTCAGATTTCAATTTTTTCTGACATGATGAGTCTCTGCCTTCTACAGCTGATCATTCTGTCATATCCAGCCTCAGCCGATGACTCAATTTTGAGTCTAAGGCTTCCCTGACAGAAACAATTTTTTTTAATACATCCCTTTCCATCCCACCAGAGATGCTTTTCTATTCTCCATACTGTACTCACAACCAAAAAAGGGTGTGTGTGATGTTTTTGAGATGCCAATACACCTGTATTTCTGCCTAACCTACAAGAGTTGAGAATCCAAATATCAGGTCCTTGCTTTCCACGCCTTCAGTGAAAAACAGATAAACAGACCTTGGAGTAAACCTAAGGATCTTTATGTCCAGGGAGGCCCCTATCACTTGGCTTGTAGAGAAGGTAGCCTCCTCCTTGCTCAGAGCCCCCGGTGCCTGGCTCCCTGCTCTCCTTTCCACACAGCATCCAAGTTTCAAAAAACAGGGAAAAACCTGTTATTCCCTCTCTTGGGGGAGCAGGAATGAATTCAAACCTGGGCCAGGAGAAGGTCTCTCTTGGGTCAGTACTCTAACCTCTTGTCACTCATGCACAAATGAGCATCCCAACATTGCCCACTCTAAAAGGACAGCTTGGTGTCTGCCCAAGAAGAGCACAAGGTACTTGGAGGGAGGTGAAGGGGGTCCTCACCTCGCAGAGCTGGCTAGAAGGTCATAAATGCTCCAGGACTAATATTTCTTAAAGGTGTCTCAGAGTATTTTCTGACTGCTCCTACATGAGGCATGGTATCATCTTACAGAGACATCTTCAAGCACAGCCTTTGACCTCAACAGGGAGACGTGGGTGCCCCACTGAAATTCCCTGAAGTGCTTTAAATTGAGCTTTCCCAAGAGGTCTACTAAAAGCCCAAGTGCCCAATGCTGACAGGCTTTTTAGGTGCTGTTTAGGTGCTTAATGTGGGTCCAATAACATCTAAGACCCATTTGGTTTTGCATCTGGCCAAATCTCCTTTATTCTGATCCCTTGGTAACAAAAGAGGCAACTCCTCAATTGATGCAAATTGGTGACTTCTCTCAAAGTTTGAACATCTCTTGCTCACACATTTCTGTCACATACTACTATTTCTTTAAAAATCTGAGCTCTCTGTACTTCACCTTCTATGAATGGGCAAGAATGCTTAGATGCAAAAGCTCTGCTAGAGCAGCTGGGTCACTGTATGTTTGATGAACAGTTATGGCAGTCATGATTTTGACCCACTTGTATAAGAGCCTGTTATACACCTTAGCTTCTGGCTAAGTCTGCAGTTGCCAAATATTTAATGTCTTCTAAAACTGCTTCTCGACAGCCAATAGTCAGAATGACAACTATCTTCAGATATAAAGTTAAAACAAAATGCTCTGAACAATCTCAATTTTTTTTTTCATTTTAAAATTGCAATTTCTTGTATTTGGTCAAGCTAAACTAAGGCTTTTCCTTGAGCCATTGCAGGCAATGAAATGTATATGAGGATTCGCTGAGACAGAGTTAAGTAAAACATTGGGAGAAGGAGTATCAACATATTTCCCCATGACTCCTGCTGCCCAGGGGAAGATACTGAATGACTAATCCTCCAAACAAAAAAATCCCCAATACTAATTTTCATTGTTGTTTCTGTTGGAAGAGCCTTCATTACGCAGTATGGATAGGAGAATGTGACCTTGAGGGAAAGCACTGCGTAGATTGACACACAGTAAACATCCATATTTCATGACAGCAAACATTCCCTAAGCATCCACACACCTTTATCTAGATAAATATCATAGACCATTCAATCTGTTCTTCTGTTTCACTAGCTTTTTCAGCCTTGTATTCTACTAAATAAATTCTCTAGACTACTTGGTCTCTGTCCTGCAGTCATATCTTTATAGAACATAGAAAAAGATAAGCTTTATTTACCTCATTCATGACCATTGTCAAAAGCAGATTTTACTGACCAAGGACCATGTGGTCTAGGCATAGTCGAAAAGGTAGCTTTTAAAATGTAGGATAATTTTCACTGTGGCACTTCAGATTTTCCAGCATCTGATGAATGATTTTACTAGCCAGCTAGATTAATTTTCATGTCTTGCATATTAAAAAAATTATTTAAGAATACTTGCAGTTCATTCCTGAAATTGTCACTGAAATATAATAACCAAACTGCAGAGAGCTGAACAATCTTTTACTGAGATCCCAAATCCTGCAGGTTTTATAAAAGAAAAAGTCTTTGTAAAATCTGTGGTTTGGTCTGCACAAAGGACTGGTGGCTAAGGACCTAAATATGAGGGAAAAGAAGATTCAGCTACCACATGCTCATATGTGCACAGCTTTACATGTGCTTAGTTCAGTTTTCTCAGTCTCAGTTTGAGGTTATTTGTATTACACCATCTACAGTAAATCAGAAGTAATTTAGGAAGGTGATAAGGTTCTCCATCAGATGTTTAAACCAACTTGGATTATTCCCCCTGTAAAATAGATGGCTTGGAGTGAAAGCAGTGTTACATGCTTGGATAGTTACTATTTGTTCAGTTGCTTAATAGAGTCCATTATGCACCTAGTGTTTTCTAAAAACACACAAAGGTAAACTCTGTTCAGAGGAACTTGATCTTGTCTTCAGACAAAGCCACATCCCCATTTTTTTCCGACAAAGAATAAGGGCATTGCTTTAAAGTAAAAGAAATTACCTATTAGCACGGATGGTTTTATATCTTTAACAATATCTTCTAGACTTTTCATTTCACCATGTTCATGGGCAAAACGTTGTTTCTCAGACGTTAATGAGGCACGTCCCTGAGTAAGGAAAAAAAGAAAAAGGTATTTATTATAAGTTTAACGGAACCTAATATCCTGGGATAATCAGTTTACAAAGTACCTGGTTTAACATGTCCTATTTTCATTTCTACTTCTGTGTCTGTCACCAAATAACATATTAGACAAAGTTACACCGTGTACAGCTAACACTTAGGATAATTGAGGACTAATCTATTTCTCTAAGTAGTACATAAATTAAATTCAATATTTTTACTTTAAATTCATAACAGATGTAGAACACCACTGTATTAACAGTTATATGAAAGCATTATCAATTTCTTCTTTGAAGCATTCCCAAGGCTGTTTTACCTGTTAACATTTGGTCAAACACTTAAAGTTACTAAAGATAAAGCATAAATATATTTATATAGCAAACAGTATGTATGCACCAGGGCAGGGGGGATTCATAACTTAGCAAAACAGAAATAGTTTCTCCTAGCATTTTCAGTGTTGCTCTTGTCTAAAAGTATAGAGACTATATGGGGGGAGTATATAGACTATAGGGCAGCCTATGTTTTGCTCTGTATTTTTCATATTTAAGTCATTTATTCTTAAGGATGGAATAAAAATAGTTCTAACCAGATGTCTGGTGCACCGTTTTTGCATTAACAAAATTGACTCAGCTGCGAAACAATGTTTGCCCTAATCTATACCGGCAATTTCCACCCATCGATGCCCAACAAGGTTTCCAAATGGAATACGATAGATGCAGGAAAAAGGGCTGTAGAGTATGATTGCCAGTGACTGGGCTGCAAACAGGATTTGAGCTCAGCATGAGTAACATGGAGTGCAGGGCAAGAAGGGGCCAGAATCTGTGACAATTCTATTAGTTGTCTAAATACGTGGACCTGTCTATACACAGGCATCTGAAAATTTCAGCAGAAGAGTTTAAAATGCATACACCTCCACCCCTCATTTTATTCTCGTGCCTGCAGAAAACATTGCCTGCAAAGGCACTTTTCAAACACCAATCTAGAAGACAGTGCCAGCCCCTCAAACATCTTACACTTTCAGACAGCAAGGAGCAGATTATACAGATAGGTAGGGAAGTACACGAGGAAAATGGAACGCTAAATGTAATTTTGACCAAATAGCCAGAACAAATATCTATCTCCCCAGCCACATCTTTTCCAACTAATAAGATGAAAGTTTCCTTAATCTTAGCAAGTTAATTAAGAACTGTACTGAAGTATTGGAACAGAATTCATTCCATGATTACATCAAAGTCTATGAATTGGACAATTTTGGCTCAATTTAGAGCTGCATATATTATCAGATTCAAGCCAGGATTATTTTTTTACGGCATTTTTGTTTAATTTTAACAAACCCAAGAAATCCGACGCTACATTTCAGACCACAGTTCTGCGATGTGGCAATGTGTGGCCGTGCCAGTCCCAACACCAAAGCTCCTCTGCTGGTCCTCGGTCGGCCACCTCAAGAGCTGGTAGACGGGAGGGAAGGCCATTTTTCATTTGCAGCTGCAAGAAAAGCGTTTCCATCCCGAGGGTACCACAGGAAGCCGCAGAAGGCTGTTATGTGGTCGGGGCTGACTGAGCTGGTCTGCCTCACAGGACGCCAGCCGCTCTTGGCTCACCCGTGATTACAAGGAATTTCCAGAGATCTCTCCTCTTCTACAGACTTTTTTACATGACCAAAATACAGAGTTTTTAAATTAAGAGGGTTATGGCTGGATGTGCTTATACGGATCTTAAGTGTTCTCCTAGAGTGATTAGCATGGAAATACTGTGATACAGGCACCTCATTTCCTTTGCGGGTAAAATGTGAAATTCTCAGCCTCGAGAGGATGCCGCAATATTAACAATTTTTGGCATATTTGTGCTCAAATTATTCCACCGTCAATACACATTTTGAAGTCTGCCATTTCCCAGCACCCCAGCAGATGTCCCCATGGTCTACACACACGGTTTAGATGCATCTCATTTTATCAGGAATGTTCCGTAACATTTTCAGGGGAAAAATATGAAGTTTTCTTTTTAGTCACCAAAGAAAAAAAAAAATGCATTTATGGCACCCAGGCCAAAAGCTTGTTGCTAGGAATAACTCAAAATACTACAATAAAAGTCACTTTTTATTCTAATCGGCTGCTTGGCTGAAATCAAAATGCTCAGCGGAGCCCAGTTTGGAGGCAGGTTTCCTAGGGAGCCAGGAATGGGTGCCATGGGCGACCATACAATACTATGCTGCTTCTTCAGTTGGTTCCTTAAAAGCATATCAGGCTGCTCTTGAGGGAGCCAGTTTTCGATCTGGTCTTAAAATCCAGCCTCCAGGAGACTGCCCTGGGCTACCAAGAAAAAAGAAATCACCTCTGAGAGCTCTGACGAACTCACTCTTCAGGCTGTGGCAGGGTGGTAGCTCTGAGCACCTCCTGGATCTGCAGATCTGGGCAGATCTCTCAGGAAAGGTTACCTCCAATTTTTTCCACAGTGTATAACAGCTAAGACGCCAGGCTGACACCTTAGCGGAGAAAAATGTTGATCATCTTTCATTTTCATTTTTAATCAAAACAAATAACCAGAATCCTGCATGAAACAGAGTGACTTCTTTATACAGTTTTACACTTGACTGGCTTTCAAGGAGGGACTTCAACATTTTAAAATTAAGATAATGGCAGAGCTGTTAAAACACTTATTGATGCAACACCATGGATTCAAACTCCCATTTCCTACTGACATCGGTGATTAATTTCCTACTGACATTGGTGATTTAATTAGCTACAAAGGAGTACTCAAACAGTGAAGTGGATGTGATCCACTGTAACCCTTTCTGGGCCACTGGCTAGTGAGACTAGTACTAGCCAGATGGCTCAGGTTAGGTCAGATTCATTTCTGCCCTATCTTAATTTCTTTCTGCCCTTAATACCACCCAGGGCATGCTACCATTCTTAAAAAACAAAAAAAAAGAAAAAGAAAATTAATTTAAATTTATTCCTTTATTCAGGTTTGGTCTGAATTAGCTTGATCCCATTAGTCAGAATGAATCATGTCTCCAAGTAAATATTTTTCTAGTATGTTAACTAAGAATGAAATACTAAATTCTGTGGCTTAGCAAAAATAACAACAGCTATGTACATAGAGATTTTTGCTTGGAAAATGCTTATAAAAGAAATTCTACAGTTGTGGGATGGGGTTTAATATATATTTTTAAATACATTGTCAGAAATGTATTTTAATTGTCAATTCAGTGATGCTAAAGGACTATATAACACCTCCCTAAAAACTGTGTCCAAGATTTCAAGACCAGCCAGTTGATTTGGTTACAAAACTCCAATAATTTAGAGGACAATGCTTTAGATAGTATTTTTTCTACCCAAATTGGCAAATTCTTAAGTTCTGCGCTCCACAAAGTAGAGAGGCGGCAGCAAGAGCACGGCTAGCTTTCCTCTGTGCCCTGCCAACAGGGCAAGCAATGACTTGCAGGAAGGAAGAAACAATTCAGTTTTGTGCATGCTTAACCTCAAAGTAAGGGGTTGCCAGTCCATTTAGTACAAGCTTCCAGACATCCGCCCCTGAATACCCATAGCTGGAATAAGAAATCACAGAGTTTTTGTCAGTCAGCAGAGAGAAGAGGATGGAGCCAAAATGCAGAAGTCTCAACTCTGGATTTGTGTGGTTTTCTGTCTTGTCTCCCTCCTGACACTGGAGAGATGCAAAGTGGATGGCCCTGTCAGTACAGAGCTGCTCTGACTAAAAGATCTTCCAGAAGCACAGATCCTGTCTTCTGACATTTCCATTTTCAGCCCTGGCTTAGCTAGCTTTTGTTCTCTGGCTATCTGCTGCTAGGAAATGAGCTGCAGAGGATCAACACAAGGCAGCATAAATCAGAAACTGCTCTGGTCTGCTTGTGTCTCCATATCCTAAGATACTAACATGGCACACAGCTCATTGATATTTCCCTTCTTCTTCTAATAGGAAAAGGAAAAATTTTAAATACTCCATACTAAGAAAGAATTTGAATGAGCTCTGGGGTTTTGTGCATGAAGCTCTGAGTCTTTTAAGTAGAAACATCATCTTCAGTCATAGTCGCATTTGTCTTCTAAGTCCACTGTCCTGCTCTTTTAGCATTATTAAAAATTCATTCACTCAATGAAAAGGGTTCAGAAAAATCAGCAATCTAAAGATGTGTCCCTTTCAGTATGCCAAGCCTCAATACAGTCTCACTGTTTCACTGAAGGACTTCAATGCTTGCCACTCAGGGGTTTTCCAGGGGTTCCTACCAGATGATGTTACTGCACCATTGTTCAAACAGCAGTATGAAGACTCAGCTAGGCCAGCAGCAACTGTCTTAAGTTGTAATATGTTTTCTATGATGTATAACAAGCATCTTTCCCACATCAAGTGACACTCCCTAAATCCAAAACGAAAGTCTTTCACACTGAAATCCACAGATGAACTAACAGACTTGACGTGATCCCTGTGCAGCTACTCAGAGGGGAAGACGCAAACTCACAAACTCTTTCAATAGGAGGAAGGTAAAGTTAGAAGAAGAGGCTATATATCCTTCTTGCTTTAACTTCCCAAATGTATTCAGCATCCCAAGAAAGAAACCAAAAAAAGCACCAACATTTCATCATATAACTTTTTGCAATGCTATGTATTCTTATATTATTTCCTTATCTTTTACAGAATAAGTAATTTGCTAGGGGCATTATAAGAAGTTTGTTTGAATTAAAACCAAACAAACAAATGAACAAAACCCCCCTACATACTAAAGTACCAGGAAGACAACCATAGCATCTTTAATACATACTCAGACTGCCTAAATAACCTATACAATACATCTTCATTAGAATGCTGAAGGGTAAGAATATTAAAAACGCTCAAAAAGATTAATAAACCTTAAGTCCAAAGACTCAGTGAAAATGTCAGAAATTACTTCGTAGGGGAGAAGTACTGCGTCTATCACAGTATCATTTTGTACCAGGAAACCTATGGGATATTTTGGATTTGAACAAAAGAAAA